CCCGCGCCCCCCAAATCGCACAGCCAGGGGGGAGGTCCCCGTGTCAACGCGTGTCATCCTATCCAGTCATGACTTCCAGAAGACCCCGCCCCGCGCCGAGCTGCACGCGCGCGCCGCCGCGATGCGCGAGGCGGGCGCCGACATCGTGAAGATAGCGGCCATGGCGAATGACATCACCGACGCGGCGGCCGTGCTGTCGCTCCTGCAGGAGAAGACGGGTGCGTGTGTGTCGCTCACCTGCGCGCTGCTGCCGTGCATGTTGCTCCCCTGCATGCTGCTGCTCCTGCGGGCTGCTCCACATGTGGCCTGTTTCTCTTTCGTTTGACATGTGCTGATAAAAGCGGACCTCTTGCTGCGTCCTGCCTTCACACGTGCGTGCGACCTACGTTTTGGGACAGCAGCGGCTGGGCGCCTGTTGGCAATGGCCCGTGGTGTGCCCCTCCATTGGTCATCAGCCCACCACTGACCCCCCAACTTCAACCCCGCTCCCACCCCTGCCGCGGCCGCCGCCGCCCCTGCAGGCCCCACCATCGCTCTGTCTATGGGCGAGCGCGGCCAGATCACGCGGCTGCTGGCGGCCAAGTACGGCGGCCACCTCACGTTTGCGGCGCTCAGCGCCGACCGCGCGTCAGCGCCGGGGCAGCCCACCATACAGCAGCTTCAGGTGTGTGTGTGTGTGTGCGTGCGTGTGTGTGTGCGCGTGCTTGTGTGTGTGCTTGGGGGGGTGTGGCTGGGTGCACGGCCCTGCTCTATGCCGTGGGGAGTGGCGGCGGCCTTGTCACGGGGGGCCGCGGCAGCGGGGGGCCAGGTCTTAAGACGAGGCGCCAATGGGCACTGCTGCACCGCCGCGGCAACCCCCTCGCGGTGGCCCCCCTCGCCCACGGCCAGCTGGCGCCCTGCACGCGCGCATGCTCACAGCCGCGTGCCCTCCTGCCTTCCGCCGCCTCCCTGCAGGGCCTGTACCGCTTCCGGAAGCAGGGCCCCGGCTCAAAGCTCTTCGGGATTATTGGCAACCCGGTGCACCACAGCAAGAGCCCCCTCATCCACAACAGCGCCTTTGAGCACATCGGTGCGCCCCGCCGCGGGGGGCCGAACGCTACAGGCCGGCCGCGACTTCGGCGGCCGTCAGCGCAGCAAGCACCTGGGCCCGCAGCCCTCGTACGTTGTGGATCCGGCCCACCAGCAAGCCTCCACCACATCTGCGTGCATACAGCGCGCTTCGACGGCCGCACCGCTCTCGATACCCACCAAATGACTGCTGCTTCCCTCCCTCCCCACATTCGTTTCGTCATCATATCAAACCAACTCCAGGGTTTGACGGCGTGTATGTCCCCTTGTTGATCGACGACATGCCCTCATTCTTGGAGGCTGTCAAGGGCCACGACTTTGCGGGCTTCAGCGTCACCATCCCCCACAAGCAGGCAGCCTTGGACGCGGCGTCCGAGGTTGACCCCGTCGCCGCCCAGATCGGCGCGGTCAACACGCTGGTCAAACGGCAGGCGGGGGACGGCAGCGATGACGTCAGCGGCGGCTGGAAGGGGTACAACACGGACTGGCACGCGGCGATCGGCGCGATCGAGCGCGGCCTGTCCGGCGGGCAGCAGCAGGGGGCGAGCGCGAGCGGCGGCAGCGCGGGCAGCGGCAGCCCGCTCGAGGGCCGCACGTTCGTCGTCGTCGGCGCCGGCGGCGCCGGCCGCGCGCTCGCGTTTGGCGCCGCGTCGCGCGGCGCGCGGGTGCTGATCGCGAACCGCGGCCGGGCGCGCGCCGAGGAGCTCGCGGCGGCGGTGCCGGGCGGCGGGGCGGGGGTAGTGGACTGGGAGGCGCTGCAGGCGGGTGACGTCAGCGGAGACGTGCTGGCCAACACCACCAGCGTGGGCATGGTCCCCAATGTGGAGGAGTCGCCAGTCCCGGCCGCGGCCATCGGAAAGGTGCGCCGCCCGCCGCCTCCTTGGTCGGGGCAGCTGCGAGCGGCTCAAACACTGCATGCCCGGTGCCCGGCTGGGCTGCCGCCCGCCGCCGGTTGCCTCCCGCTTGTCTGCAAACGAGATCCTCCCACACACCAACGTCCACCGCTCCGAGCAGCAGGCGTCCTGGTCCCTCATTCCGGACGCCTGTTGCTTGCGCATTGGCCACACCTACCC